AAGAACAAGCACCATGCGAAGGCATGGATTCCGGTGTACCAGGAGAAAGGTGTCTACAACTTCTACCTAAAGGCGAAGGCACCTACTCAGGGTTTTGGGCGGCAGCCCACTGGTGTAAGTCCGGCCCAAGCCATGGCAGCGGCAGATGATGCCGTGCCCGCCGGACGAGGAGATGAGGACATGGGAGCACCGAGAGAAGAGGAGAGTGAGGAGATTGCACCGCCTGCGTTGGTGCACGCACCAGCGAACCCGACAAGGGCGGAGGTGGACGAGCGTTCTCGAGATGAGGAGAGTAAGAGAGATGACGGTTTACCCATCATCGCGAGCGACTACACCTTCATGACTACAGATGGCAAGGAAGATGGAAGCCGGACGTTGTCCGTGGCAGCCACTTTTGTGGATGCAAAGGGTCCTACACCCTATGCCGTGAAGTTCTTTGCCAACTTTCTGAAGCACTTAGGCTATCGGAGAGCGATTGTTGCTCTTAAGGAGCAGGCAGCCCGTGAGGCTGGAGTGGCAAATGTTCCACAGGAGTCCCCGGTGGGTGACCACCGGAGCAACGGACTTGCGGAATTTGCAGTCCGTGAGGTCAAGAGGCAGGTGAGAGTCTTGACATCTTCTTTAGAAGAGATGATCGGCAAGGTTCTACGTGAGGACGACCCGTCCTGGCATGGCTTCCGCGACATGCGGCAGACCTGACGTGCCGGTACCGCAAAGGACCGGACGGCCGCACGCCTGAACATTGGCGTTGTGGTAAGAACTGGCGAAAGCCAGCGATCGCTATAGGCGAGAAGTTATACTACCGTGAGGTAGGAGAAGGAGTACGACATCTTAAGGAAGGCCGGTACATCGGCCACCATGGTCGTACCGGATCACTTTTGGTGATCACAGCAGATGGTGTCAAGAGAGGCACTGGAGTGCGCAGACTGGCGGACTGTGACCGTTGGGTAGCCGACGGTTGGGATGCCCTACGAGGGCTTCCATGGGAGGTGACTGCACGAAGGTCACCGGGCGCGCCAAAGATTCTTCACAGCGTGCGAAAGATCAGGACGATCTTGACTGAGGTACGCTGCTCGCATCACACTCGACCTATAAAGTGAAGCTGCTTCTCGTGCCAATGGAGGGCTGTTAGCCTCCAAAAGCTGCTGCTCCACGGACTTGTCTGGGGTCTCAGTGCCCTTCGCGTTCACCATTCCCAGATGTCTCACCAAAAGTTCCACATGACGGCGGTCAGGTTCCAAGAAACCGCTGATTGGCCTTCGTGCATGCCAATGCGGATCAGACGATTCAAGAAATGTGCTGCGCGATCATCTCCATCCTCGTCTCCCAGCATTCCGAGCCGTTTCAGCTCGTAGGCACTCCTTAAAGTGGAATCCAGCTCATCCAAAGCTTCTTGATCACCAAGTGCAAGCAAGTCGTCTCCATGAACCAACACTCTGCACCCTGTGCTCGGCTTGTAAAAGCAGGAACCATTGCTGCGGCCACGCTGAAACCCATGCTTCAAAAGAAGTTGGGTATGGTGGTCTTGCCATATTGCTGGCGCGTCTTGGCAACCATACATGCTCTTCTCCAACAAACCACAGAAGCCTTCTTCTGCGTCTTCTGGTGGAAGTTCAACGTATATGCGTCGCTTCGGTACTCCGTAAAAGTGCGCTCGACTTATGTCCCAGAGACCGAGCTTCAGTCTCCGGCCCTTGGCTGACACCCGGTCTGTTGCCCAGGCACTCAGCAGGTAGCGCATCGCCTCCAACAGGAGGTTCTGCGGCAGTTCCTCCGGCTTCTTAGCTGCCTTAATTTCACAGGCAACTAATCTAGACCGGTAGTTGGGCTTTTCAGGATCTCCTTTGTTCGTGTCTAACCATCTCACCGTGATTGGACGAAGTCCCTCTGTGTAGCATTGTGTTACCGGCACCTTCCAGTAAACTCCTTGCTTCTTGAAGTAGTCCATCTCAAGAGTTCTTGCCTTCTTAACTTCTTCCGCTGCTAGAAGTCCTCCGTTCACATCACCCCAGTACTCTTCAATGTAGTCTGCTGGAACAAAAGGTTCCTCACAGATTGGCCCTGATGTATTCGACTCCATTGAGTTAAGCTCACCCTTCTGTACAAGATAAAATTCCACCAATGAGGTGTGCTCAGCAAGCTCCCGGCTATTAGTGAGCCAACCGGTCTCCTTTCTCACATAGCCTGTGCCTTGAAGACCACGGCGGTCTGTCGCACCAAATATGTGTCCGGGCGATCCGCCAGTTCCTTGACTTCAGGATCTTTCCACGAAGTAGCATTCCAGGGCGCCTCGTGCAAGAACAGGCGTCCTGCCTTCAGCTGCTTCCTGTAGAAGCTGCATGAGTTGTGCAAATGCTCCAATGCTTTATCCATACGGATCTTACGTTGATCCGGGCTGACCCTGTACTTGTTGATGTTCTGCAAGTGGTTGAATTGATCACACGGCGGACTCCCAGTCAGTAGTACTGGTTCGTCGCGATCAATCAGTTGGTTTACGGCCCCGACGTCTTCTGGAGCCTTGTCAAGGTCGATTGCGAAACCAGGCTTTAAACCAAACCTGCTCGCCTCCTTAGAGAGTCGTGCTGGACTGTACACTTCCATGATGTGTACTGCGCTTAGCTTGTACTGCGCTTAGCTTGCAGCTTATGTTGGCTAGAGTCTCAATTTCCACTGACGAGATCTCTACCTCCTGCTGCTCATAGACCTGCTTGATTCTCCTTTCGATCATCCTCTTCACCACCTCCTTTGCCCTGCTCAAAGACAGTCCTCCCGCGTCCGGGGGCTGCCCTGGAGTAGTTGCTCCAGCAGGTGGCTCTCCAGTCTGATCTCTCAAATCTTCAACTGATACCTCAGGTTCTCTCTTCTCTCCCTGGGGTGCTTAGGTCCAGCGGCCAGCCTGAGTTCTCCCGATCTTTTCTGAGGCTTGACCGGTGAGGCTTTAGCCTTACTCCCTGCAGGCGTACTGCTACTGCTAGGCTCTGCAGGTGCACGTTTCAGGCTTGACCTCTCCTCCAGGGTATGGCAAAATGCCTTCATCCCTGCGTTCCTCACTAGCTTGCACGGCCTTGTCGGCCGGCGCTCCAGCTGCGTCGTCAGCTGTCACATCCCTCTCAGTGGCCTCGTTCTTCTCATCCCTTTTCGATCTCTTCTTCCTCTCGTGTTCTTCCAATCTACTCTTGCCTTCCTCATCTTGTTGCATCAGAGTCACAATTCTGGCTCCGCGTGCTTCCGTGTGTGGCAACACGGTAGATTGGCCCAGCAAAATGCATGTGCATCCTGGGCACCCATCTGTAGGCGTGTACTTCTCGACGTCTGCCTTCCGGATGTAGATCCTCTTCTGCATAGGTGGCGCCATGACATGAACTGCCGGTGGCACCTCCATCCTTGGCTCTCCAACCAAGACAACGGCTTCTCCAGCCGCTCCGGCACGTGGTCACCCCCGACCGAGGCGGCGATGCACTGTGCAGATATTTGCTGAAGTATCCTGAAGTGTTTGGGAGACAAGCCAAACCCTCGAAGGTCCGTATACAGGTTGATTCTGACCATGCAGGAGACGCTGTCACTAGGCGAAGCACTACAGGCATGGTTGCCCTCTATGGTAGCCATACACTGAAGCACTCAAGCAACGTCCAGTCGACGATAGCATTGAGCGCTGGAGAGAGTGAGTACTACGCTTTAGTGAAAGGCGGTTCTGTAGGATTAGGACTTCAATCCCTCTTTCAAGACTTTGGAGTTGAGGTAGAGGTTCTAGTAGAGTCTGATGCAACCGCAGCCAAAGGCACGGTTAATCCGTTCCCCCTATTAATAAAGGTCTCCCTAATAATAAATATTTGTTTCGGAAGTCCCAAATCCGGGAATACTACTTTTAGAATAGCCAATACTAAACCAATTCTAAAGTAGGTATTTTCTTGCCCGTACTCAAATCCAGCCCCATTAGGGGGACCCCGGGGGCACGTTTCCTTTAATTACTACGGCTGTACTACAAAGTTGCGACTTTCAAGCCAGAGCTCCGGGAGCACGTTTCCTTTACTACGGCTGTACTACAAAGTTGCGACTTTCAAGCCAGAGCTCCGGGAGCACGTTTCCTTTACTACGGCTGTACTACAAAGTTGCGACTTTCGAGCCAGAGCTCCGGGAGTATGTTTTCTTTGAGACCGACAGGCAGCGAAACAAGCCTACACAGAACAAGAAGTACCTCCAAAACCTGCCCTCCAGAACCAGGGGACCCCTAATAATAAAAATGGTTTTGCTGGCCGGGTATTTTTTTTATTAGGGGGGGGGGGGCGTCGTTTATTATTAGGGGGAAAGGATTAATAGAGTAGGCCTGGGAAAGGCACGCCGCATTCAAACTCGTTATCTGTGGTTGCAGGAACGTGTGGCGATGAATCATTTAAAAGCAGAACACATACCAGGCAAGCGGAACAGGTCTGATGTGCTGACAAAGTCAGTACCCGGAGTCCAAATGAAGGACACAATGAACCGTTCCGGATTTGTGTTATTTCAAAGCAAGAGTAAAGGCCAGATGAGTCTTCTAGATTCGTAAGGCCCTGGTCCAGGCTCCGACTACCGCACTGTATAGTTGCTGCGCGGGTGATCAAGCACCTTGCAGCAAGGAGGAGTGTTGAAATATGTAGCCCAATACGCATGTTGTCATATACAGTTGTACAGTTGAGACTACTGACATGTTTTGGCTCAAGAAAATAAGGCGCTCCGAAGCGGCCAAGTAGATTTTCATTTCTTTCTTTTGTGTGTCAGTTTGTTTGTTTGCTTGCTTGCTTTCTTGTTTGTTGGCTCATTTGTTTGTTTCCTTGCTTGTGTGTTTGCTTGTTTGTATTTTGTTTGTTTGTTTGTTTGTTTGTGCTTGTATGTTTGTGTGTTTGTGTGTTTGTATGTTTGTGTGTTTGCGTGTTTGTGTGTTGGTGTGTAGGTATAGTATTTGATTGTTTTCTGTTGTGTAACTAGTTGTAGACAATTTTCAAGCAAAACACAAACCTTGGCAGGAGCTGTGCTCGGCTCGAATTCCAAGGATGCTCTCGCAGAGGAGGGGGGGACATTTAATTTTCGACTCCAACACCCCGGCAATGCAGGTTGTCTCCGAGCTCGTTTCCCTGTGTCCCTTCGAGGCAATAGCAACACCACCGCTCAAAAAGGCCCCCCCCCCCATCATGTCAGGAGATCCGCGTCATGCGGCAGCACCTTCAGCAAGGCTTCCCCACAGAGCTGATGGCTGTGGCGGCGGCGGAGCGTTGCTGGAGCACATCGTTCCTGGTGGACTGGGTGGCACCGGACACGTTGAGGCGTCCCGGGTCCCCCGTGCCTGGGGATCGACCACATGCTGCATTCATGCTACTTTCAGCACGTTCATGTGTAAAAGTCTAACAGAAAGGAGATGGATTCGGAAAGACAACAGCACAAGCGTAGTGTCTCAAGGCACCATTCTGAACTTACTTGTTGGTTCAACACATGCTTGCTCTATGCTTAGAAGTGGTGCAGGCCTTCCATTTGTTTGTGTTTCAACATGCCGGGAGCACAGTGCCTTTCGTCGTGTGATGACTGCGGCCTTTGTGGTGGATGCAGATGGTTGCTTCAAAACGGGCTTTCCTTTGAGAGCAGGAAGCGCGGTTGCTAACTTTCAACCATAGCTCAGAACATTCGCGATTCCATTGTAAGTTTTGGCAGGCAACCAAGCTGGCCGCTCCCCTTTCCGAAACCCTCCGCCTGTTCGCTCGGGCTCCTGTATTTTGGGTTGTTGGGGATGTCAAAAAACCCATCTTTGGGAAATCATGTATTCCTCGTAGAGGTCCTTGTCAGGGAAGCAGGACCATGTCTCGCATGGGTGTTGGCGATAGAAGACCCCCAAAAATGGTTTCCTTCTTGGTCCAGGCTGTGCCACATTGAGGGCAAGGGACGGGGTCTTCGTTCCACCCGCGACATCCGGAGAGGCGGGGACGACGCGGCTTTGTGACGTCGATCACACAGTCACTGGGGTGACCAAATGTTTCGACGCCCAAAGCCCAGGTGGCTGGAGTTTGCGCCTTATTTCGGGTTGCTGCTGGAAATTGGATGGTCGGGATGAAATTAGCTGGGCGGTTTAGGGATCCCAGTGAGGGGGAGAGGGGGTCCGCCCCAGGCGAAACCTTGATGCTCCAGCGGCCTCGCGCCTTTGCCTCGGCGGACGTGGAGGAGGGCCAACTGGTGACGTCGCTGGACTACGAAAAGCGGATGGTGTCCGACACCTCCAAGGTGAAGATGATTTCGCAGGCAGACCGTTGCAGGGGAACTTCGTTCATGAGAGGAAACCGGAAGACCGGTTGATTAAAGGACCCCGGATGGATTTTGATTGCTCCCGCACCATTGAAGCGCCAGGACTATCATGCTTAATTGTGACTTCTGTTTTTTTGGATCCGAACACTTCGGAAGGTTTCCCTTCTGAACTTTTGCCAGTGCAGGTCACCTTTGCTGCCAGCCTCGACATGCCCCTGGCCCGCGTGCTGTCCCATCTCGACGACGGGAGCGGTGCAAGGCGGGAAGTGGTGGACTTCGCCGAGTTTCTTCACCGGCTGAGCCCTGTGGTGTGCCGTTGCTGCTCCAACAGCCCGAGTTTGTTCCCAGATGGGAGCGGCTAGAGCTGAGCAGTGAGTGCGTCAAGGGGGTGGTGGAGGTGAATGCCCACGGGGACAAGAAGACGCTGAAGAGTGGGGTGCCCCGCGACTCTCACACAGAGGACGGGCTAGCTGTGTTTAAACCACCCTGGTTTCATCAATCTCGTCTCCATCCGAACATGGAAACTGACAATGTAACACTGTTGGAAGGCAACTACTTTCTTTTAGGGAAGTCTCTTCTCCGCTTGTTGGAGGAGGGAGTGCCTCGCAGCAGGGGCGCTTTAGATGATGCTTCCATTTTGCTTGATGCGCCAAGCATGTGCCTCACAGAGGGTTGCGCCTGAAGGCACATTTTGTGGATCAGTGGAGGTGAAGCAAGACTGGTTAGAACGACCCACCCTTCCTCTTTCGCGCTGTTCTCTGGCAATTTGTTCCGATCTGCTTTAAGTCTATCGAGAGTCTCAATTGCCAAAGCAAGCCGCAACTTTAATCCGAAACTGCCTCGGCGCTTTGCACGCCTTTGCTTTGCAAGCTGGTCACAACTTACGGCCAAGTCGGATCACTTGCATTTATTGTAAAAAAATCGCGTTGCCCGCCTCGGCCAGTCCGTTTTTGGCTGGCTTTGAGGAGTTACCGTGCTTCGTTTTGCCTTGAAGTCTTGTGCTTATTTGAGTGAGTGAGTCGGCGCCGAACTGCGTGAGCTGGTTTCCACGGTAGAGGGTGGGTGCACGTCCGAGTGTTTCAGACATGGCTTTAAGGGCCGGAACGAGAGCCGCAGAGAGTGGCAGTGGGCCTGGGCCAAGCGAAGGTGCAAACTTCCAGGGAATTTGATTGGTTTCTGGGGGGATTTGGTTGGCTTCTGGAGGGGAGGTGTTCCGCTTCGCGACTTGTTGTTGATGTTGTCGAGAGGCTGGCGACCTGCTACTGGGCAGCACCACTGCGCTTTATCCGGGGATCTCGATGATCAACCACTCCTCGGACCCCAACTGCGTGTTGCTGCCCATCTACCGCCACTTGACGGTTCCCAGCCATATTCCTGCATTTTTCAGTCTTTTGTGATGACATCTCCAACAGTTTAACTTTTAGCAAGTCAACGAACTCAGGCCAGAGGGAGCTTCTGGGGTTGGCCGTGGCGGCATTCCGACCCATCAAGCAAGGGGGTGAGCTCACCGAGGCGTACATTGACGACGCGGAAGCTGTGCAGAGGAAGTGGGGAATCCGCGGCTAAGAGATTGCCGTGGGAAAACGTCAACACGAGCAGCGCGACAGACTGGCCGAAAAGGAAAGGTGGTGTTCTTTTTTGCGCTTGAGAGTCGTGCTCCCTTTTGCAAATGACGAAGAAGGGACTTTCTTTGGGTGGCTGCTATCGGGCAAGTCGTTCCAAATCGCGCTGGAGGCCACGACCCGAAGTTGGGGCCAAATTCTTCACGTAGGTGACATGTTGAATTGGTGGGCGCTGCGTCCGTAGAGGATGCCCGGGGCTAGTTGGACCGTCGAAGATATATATATATATATATATTATATCCTAGGGAAGTTCCTTGGGTGAGGGAACTTTTGGCACCAGGGTGCCTTTTTTCGCAAGAAAGCCTATGCTCGTCCGGGGGTACCTATTTGGCAGGTGCCTGCATTTTCTTGATTTGGCATAAAGGTGTGGTTGCCTTATCTTATTGGGGCCATGGCCTGCGGCAAACCTTGTTTTGCACGTGTACTGTCTAGCACCGTTTACACGCGGGGAAAGCAGCCAGCCTAGGGTGAAGTGCCTCCCTTTGATGCACTGCGGGATTCGTGACCACTTGCGCAATGTCCGAGGAGCAAGTACAGGTAGAGAGGGTCCTTCTAAAGAGCACCAGCGCGAGCGGGAGAAGCACATTGAAGAAGGAGTGCGTTGACAGCGTAAAATTGCCCGCAACAATGACCAGCAGTCCAGTAAAGATGTCTGGCTTGGGTCAAAGCAAGTGCAAGTAGAAGTGGCCCGGCCAGAAGGAGCGCCAGCGTGATCGGCAAGAATCATAGTGAAGAAGGAAAGCGCCAGTAATCTATCGTTGTCCGCAGTAATGGCCATTCGCAGTGAGAAGCAAGTGCAGGTAGAAGTGGATCAGCCCAGGAGAAATAAGTAGCCATGCAACAAAGAAAGGACGATGTGAAACCAGAAGAGCATCCAAGAATGCGTTCGCTAATTTTCGGGAAGAACATCTGATAATATCAGATCTCTTGAGCTGCCATTCTACCGCAGAAGCAAAGAAAACATATCAATATACGCCTGCATCCCTCGTTGGTGCCGTGGGCTCGGACCTGGAATGCCGCAGCAGGCCCATGGCTAAAAGGTGACTGAAGTTCTAAGTGTTTCGTCCCATGTGTGGCTGACAAAAAAAGGATGCCTGCGATGCGCTTGTGGCTGTTGTGTATGCGCAACCCTCCGGTGTTGCAGCCTGGCTCAGGCAAATGAGCCGACGTCATGTCATGGGTCACAAAAGAATCCAAGTGCCAACAGTTGCAGCCGACCGAGGGACAACAACCCACAGCTGCGCTTCAGGCTTGAAAAAGCGCAGATCTGGGCAACATCAAGACCCAACAAAAGCGGCGAGCATTTGCTGGCAAATTGGATTAGCAGTCGGTCGTCAGTCGGAGTCTCTGGGATCGGTCGGGCCGTTCTCCGAGTCCGGCTCATGGAAGCCAAGGCGAGGGAAACTTGGCCACACGTTAGAGGTGTCCATGGTTTCGTGAGCAGCGCGTTCCTCGCGCAGGAACTTCTGGTGACCGCACGGGAGCCGAGAAAGGGCGGAAGATGAGCGATCGAGCTGGGCAACCCCTCAGTGACCAGGGGTCATTGCATGTCCCGTTGTGGAGGATAAATTTTGTCTCCATTTTTGGTGGTGATGTTAAAAAAAAAAAACAAAAAAAAACCGAGCAATGCCGAAAGGGATATGCCTCCCATGAAAGCAGAAGTTGCCTTTCTGACCGTCCCAGAGGATCGCTGGTTTTGGCATGCAGCCTGTTTAGGGGGTTCAAAGATTGTTTGAGTTCAATGCACGTTTTTGGGACCGTCAGAAACTGCGATCCACTTTGAGGCTCTCTTGCCTTAGAAAGCCCCCTCTTTATCAGAACTGAAGTGGGATAAGACGGATGAGCCTCATTCTTTCCAGTTTCCGCTTCATGAGTTCAGCTTGCCTCCGGTGGCTCGGAGTCTGTGCTCGAGGCCCGTCGCCCGTCCCCTCCGTCGCGTATTTTTTGCCTCGGTAGCCATGCCGCCCTCGGGGATGGGAGCCACTGGCCGGTATGAGGCGTGGGCGCGACGAGTGAGTTCAGCAGCGTCTCCTTACCTGTCTCAGTCCTTGTTTTCTTCGTTTTCTTCTTGTGGTCTGTGTTTGTTGTGTTGTGCTGTGTCTTCTTCTCCGCCTCATGTGCCTCCTCCTTCTCGTGCTTGTTCCTCTTCTGCTCAGATTGACTGCTCGCGTGGTGGAAGACACAAGTGCAACTTCATAACGAGTCCTCTCACGCCTGGCTTTTCAAGTCCCCGGTCATCTACCCATGTGATTCACCTTACAGGAGCTTTTCAGAATGTCAACCCTTCACAAGTTGGTTTTATGTCACAACATCAACAGCTAGTCTCCAGTTTGGGTATTTACATGGCTGTTTCCAAAAACAGGAATTGGTCCCCTCAAGGAGGGGCCCTCAATTGTTGGACACCTGGAGTCTAAAGCCACGGGCTGTTCGAGGTGTGCCAGTTTTTTGAAAGAGGACAGACCCCGATAATGGCAGTGCACAGAGCCTGGACTCTTGCTCTAAGCCGCTAAGCTTGTGCGCCAATTGGGAGCATTTGCGCGCCAGGAGTACAGCCAGTGGCTTGGGTCGCACGGAAGCGTTTCTGTGCTTCCTCCTGGGACGGGGAAGAATGAGGAAGCAGTCAAAACCTGGGTGGAAGGTGACTCGGAAGAGTCCCAACCTCGCGGCATTCCTTCTCCAAATCGTGGGGTTGGGGACTGGGACGATTTCTCGCAAGACTTTCGCAAGGATTTGATTGACGCTGTCCCATGGCCCCAAGGAAGGAGATCCACTTCATCGAGAACGAGCTGAAGGCTGTGGACTTGGGTGTATTTTGTGGAGTTGGTACATTTTCTTAGGTGGGGGAAACCGACACGAAAACGCCAACTTTGGGGTCCCACTATCCTGACTCGCACTTACTTGGAGGTTGAAACCTTGACCGAGGGGTCCTAGAAGGCCATTCTCCCGCGAAAAGGGACTTTGGTGGGTTCTGTGTTGGTGGAAAGATGCTTAAATGCGTTGTATTCAAAGTCACAGTTGCAAAGACAAGCCTTAGGCCTTCCCAATGTGATCCGGATGTTTGATTGGGAGATCAGGGATCCCATTGGAGCTCACGCGCACAGGGGTTTTCCCGCAAGAGAAGAACAGGTTTGGCCTTGGGGTCCCACTAGATCCTTCTGCAGGGGAAACAGAAGGAACTCGAGTCACATCCATCATCCATCGCTTCCGAACCACTGTTTTGGCCTTCCCCGGCGGGTTAACTTTTGTGTTGCATTTCAGGCCAACGAAATACAGGGCCCCAGATTCTTTGAGGCCATGTTGGAGCGTTTTACTTCTGTCGCATGGTCACGTGGATTGGTGGATGGGTGGATTGATGAAACAGCAGGAAAAAGCACTCCCTAACCGTAGCCTGCAAACAAGTACTCCAAACTGCCATATAGTTGGGTTCACTTTTTTTTGTTGGGGGGTGGTCAAACAATGTTTAGTGTCGCTTGCAAACGGATCCCAACCAAACTCCTCAACACATCCTTCAAGAAAAACCGTGCCAGTTGTTGAGCCATTGTTTTTTTTTCTCTATATTTCCCCAGATAGCTGAAAGCTAAAGGGGTTCTGACCTCTAACAAATAGGGGACAGTGATTTGCGAGATTGAGGGCAGGGTGCTAGGGGGCATGCAGTTTGGGGTGCTGGAGCAGGTGCACAAGCAACCAAACAACCAACCAACCAACTAACTGGGTGAGCTTTTGCTGCTGAGTCGTTTGGCAGGACTGGTTCCTGCAGCGCCGCTTTGCAATGGAGCGGAACATGGCCCTGAAGAAGGCGGGCTTGAACGGCATTGATAGGATTTTCATTCGGGCTTGTTTTTTTAGCCATGGCCTTAATACAGGCATTTTTGGTCGGACATGTCATGTAGGTGTGATCGACATTTGTAATAGTGGTACAAGATGTGGTTCAGGACAAGGGGGACGCGCAACGTGATCTTGTTTGGTTGCTGAACTGCCAGCTCATCCAACCATTTAAGGATGCCACGACTGTGGTTTCGCCCCCCCCCCCCCCCGCTCCCCTGGCTGCTCAGGCCCAGGGCACGTCTCAATGGGTTGCTCGGTTTGGAACTCTTTCACCACCATCACGACTGCAACCAGGTGTGCTGGCAAGCAGTGGATTGTCCCAGGCAGAATCAAACCTCTCCAATGGTGGAATCTGACCGGAGTTGTTTCAAGGAAGAGTGGCTTTGCGTTTGGGCCCTTGTCCACTTTCATGACATCGCCAACTGCCCTGCCTGCCGCAGACCTTGGATCAGAACAATTTCACAGGCTTGCCTGGGCCTCAAGCTGATTTCCGTGTGCAAATCGCGCTATGACTCGAAGCGATTTTTGAGCTCGACACAGGTTCCTTGGGTCCCAAAAGTTCGGCCAATTCGCCTTTAGGTCGATGGCGAACCAGAGCGTCCCGGATGCTCAGAAGGCACCGGTTCCGGATACGATAAACCAAAAAGCCAGTCAGAGTTTCACCGCAAAACAACTTTCTGGAGGTAAATGTCCTTTCAAACTACCTTTGCAGCCCGGGTGACACTTTCATGGGCCTGCGGGGGTTGGTAGGGGTTGGAGTTCATTGTATATTGGTTTTCCCCTCCTTTTATATATTGGTTTGCCCCTCCGTTCAGTTGGTTTGGCAAGGAACCTGTCTGTAGAACTTCCGAAATCCCATAGTTTTCCCAGGAAGGCTTAGGAATACGAGGAGGCTTTTGGGGCGGGGTCCTACGCAAGCCATGTTGCTGGGCAGATAGTGGCAACCTCGTGCAGGGGTCGCAGCTTCACCATCGGGGGTTTCTGGATCACATACTGGGGGTCCGGGGTCCGGGGTCAATTTTGCGCTTGTGGGAGGCTGATAGAAGCTTGCGGAACACAAGGGGTAGCAAGCCCAAGAGAAGACAGGCCAATGCTTGCCAAGGAACTACACCAATACTCATGAGGAGTTCGGGGGGCTCACCACACTTCCCGGGTCCACTCTCACCATTGGAGAATTTGAGGTTGCGGGTCTGAGCCTTGTGGCTGGCAGGTCATGTGGTCTGACCTCGTTCAGGGCAAACCGGAGCTGGAGGACACCTTGAGCTCCAATGCCAAGCAGATGAAGGCGGTACCCTGGCGAAGGCAACAGCCGCATGCTGGACAGACAATCCCCGTGCGCTAACAGGGCCCCCAAAGATAAAAAGTTCCTGCGGATGCATGCGGGCTAACGGGCTAAGGATATGTATTCCAAGATGTTCAAGGAGTCTACCGTGCCTCGGACAGCGCCGGTGCGCTTATGTCGGCGCCGGGCCAGCGGCTTTCCAGTGCCGACCTGTGGATGCAGTGTGTTCGTGGCCATCCAAGAAACGAGCTCAAATGAACCGAGCAGCTGAAGCTTGGGGGCATTCCCATGTATGACTTTGGGCTTGGTTCCCGCTATGCGATTTCTTAACGTGAGCAGAATTTGGGTAGCTTTGTGCCGGATTTTGCTTGTGACCCACCCTGGAAGGCGATGACCAAAAGGCTGGAAAACCAGAATGCGTATGACATGTGATGCCTTTCTTCGTTCCATGCCTGCGGCAACCTTGCGGCAGAAGCAGGGTGTGTTGTCATTTGTTGATATTCTCAGATGTACTATCTCCAAATGCGCCCAAAACGAATGCGCATCAAGAGGGTGACTCTTGCCCCAGCGCAGTTTGCAGTGTTTTGTTTGCAAGAGGAACACCTCAAGCATCGGTATCAACTGTGGCCCAAACACCTCGCTGGCTGTACATTCACAGCGCCCATGACTGGCAGAGTTTTGACCATGGCCAGTTCAACTGGTAACAAGTGACTCCCGCCACTGACCGCGATGTGAAAGTTATTGCTTTGTGTCAAGTGGCACAGAGTCACTGCTTGCCCTGTGAGGATTTGGATCACCCGTGCCGCGTTGCTGGAAGCACGTATACGAGGCAGGGAATGTTGGCAACAAATGGTCGACCAGTCGCTTGGGAGTTGCAATCACTCGCGTGGACCTACCTCTCTCACCGAATATCAGCACCGGTCTCTTGTTGCAGGGCTCTTGGAACCCCATTCTCGCGACATGCGTGAGCGCAGTGAGAATCATGGGCACTGCATCAGCACGCCAAAGCGGCTGCACCAAAAGAAGCTGCTTACACTGACAGATGGGGCCACATGTCCTCCCCTTTCCAGATTTTTCTGGCGGAGGGCTCGGTGGGTCTGCCGGCTTCATTCCGAAGGCTGGTTTTAAAGTTCTAAGCACCATTTGGGCCGATTTCAAGTTCCTTTTTGTGGGGTTAAGACCCTAGTCAATGTTGGCACAGGTGCCTGCAGGAGAATTTCAAGGAGAAGTCCTCCACCAGGATGATGCCGCTTGCAGGGACGGCGGGGTAGGAATATGCTAAAGCCATGCAAACTGGAAAGACAGCTACGTGTTTCAGAGTATTGTGAGAAGGAAGTCCAACTTGAGATTTCCATTGGATGGGATTCCCAGTGTTTGGGACTCGGTCTATTTTGGCCAGTGGGAGTAGGGTATGCTCTTCCTGTGGAACTTGACAGGGGGTCTTGTCTGGCTGTCTCAAATTTTCACACAGGTTCACACCTCATGTTGTCTGTTGAGAATAACCTTGCCACGTTGATATAAAGGAACAACAACCATTTTGGCGGTCCCCATGCTTTGCAACCTATTTGTGGGTTGATTAGCGTATGCAGCGCATGGACGTGTAAAGCATCTCCACTAAAAACCAAAGGGACGCACAAAAGAGATCCACGCTCGCACACATTCACAAACAAGCACACCCACAGACAAACAAACAAACAAACAAACAAGCAAGCAAGCAAGCAAGCAAGCAAACAAGCAAGCAAGCAAACAAACAAACAAACAATCAATCAAACAAATAAACAAAACAAACAAACAAACGAACGAACGAACGAACGAACAAACAAATAAACAACCAAACAACCAAGCAACCAAACAAGCAAACAAGCAAGCAAGCAAGCAAGCAAGCAAGCAAACAAGCAAAACAGCAAGCAAGCAAAACAGCAAGCAAGCAAGCAAGCAAGCAAGCAAGCAAGCAGGCAAGCAAGCAAGCAAGCAAGCAAGCAAGCAAGCAAGCAAACAAGCAAACAAGCAAAAAAGCAAGCAAGCAAACAAGCAAAACAGCAAAACAGCAAGACAGCAAGACAGCAAGACAGCAAGACAGCAAGACAGCAAGACAGCAAGACAGCAAGACAGCAAGACAGCAAGACAGCAAGACAGCAAGACAGCAAGCAAGCAAGCAAGCAAGCAAGCAAGCAAGCAAGCAAGCAAGCAAGCAAGCAAGCAAGCAAGCAAGCAAGCAAGCAAGCAAGCAAGCAAGCAAGCAAGCAAGCAAGCAAGCAAGCAAGCAAGCAAGCAAGCAAGCAAGCAAGCAAGCAAGCAAGCAAGCACTTGAATGTCCTGGGGGTTTGCTTGTGGGTTATAAAGAGTTATCATCGTTAACATGGTTAGCTAAGCAGGTTAGCTGGTTTACTAAAGTCATTAGATTGGTTATCTTAACCCCTTTAGCCTGTTTATCTAACCCTGTTAGCAGAGTTTGAAATAATGCATGAGCACGATTTTGTGAACATGCGAACCAGCGTTTTCTTCGGACATTTTCTTCTGTGCCAGAAAGCAATTCCACCCGCAACAGTTTTTTTTGTATGACATTCACGAAGAAGAAAATCGTATATAAGTCGCAGAGAAACCACTCGCTGGAAATCTGATTGATGTAGATGCCAAGGAGCATGTGTCGTGGAAGAACTATGCTGTTTCATTTTTTCACTTGTCTGCTATATGTTTTCGAAGTGTCGGCATCATGTGCATACTTTTACCGAATGTGTGAACGAAAACTTTCGGCTGCATGGTTTCACGTGTTGAGCCTTCGGGCTTCATGTGTTGAGCCTTCGGGCTTTATGTGCTGAGCCTTCGGGCTTCATGTGTTGAGCCTTCGGGCTGCATGTTTCGAGCCCAAATAGGCTTCATGTGTTGAGCCCTCAGGCTGCATGCATGGAGCCCATAGGGCTTTGTGTGTTGAGCCCTCGGGCTTCATGTGTTGAGCCCTCGGGCTTCATGTGTTGAGCCCTCGGGCTTCACGTGTGGAGCCTTAAGGGCTTCAAGCGTTGAGCCTTCGGGCTTCATGTGCTGAGCCTTCGGGCTGCAAGTGCCCTCGGGCCTCATGTTTGTTTGTTTTTTTCAGCTGCATGACTTGAGCTTATCTATAGGGCTGCATGCATGGCAGAGTCCATGGGGGCTGCATGTTTGGAGCAGAGCTTGCTGGAATAAGTGACAGCAGAGCATCTTGCAATTCTTTGCAAGGCTGTCCACTTTCAACCAGCAGCTCATTTGGTCGATCCGTACCCTGTGCCTCCTAAGCAGGTGTCGGCGCTGGTAGCTGCCAACATTATCACTGCCACTGATAACTGTTGTTGCAGCAGCCTCTGCCACCTTGCTTCTGGTAGCCGACACCACCAGCATGTCGAGCAACCTGGACCATGATGTGCAGGCATCCTTGTACACCTGGACTTCAGGGAGAACACAGTACGTCTCCAGGAAATGCTGCAGGGGCCTTGACAAAGCAAGCATCTCCGAGGCCGAAGCTTTGAAGTGGCCGGCCTTCCTATGGCTCTTAACCTTCTCTGCACTGAACAACTTGTGCAAGGAATTCTGTTTTTGGGCCAGGGGCCAATGCCACAACTGCACAAAAGCTTCGAATCCGTGCCACACCTGTGGGAGCCCTTCCTGCTGGAATGCAGTGCCCAGAACAAGACGAAGCAAAGCACCCCGTTGCTGCAAAGTCCATGCATATAATCGAAGCAATACTGGGTGGCTGGACGTAGAAGACCCAAGCTTCGCAAGACAGGCGACATGAGCAGGGCAGCCTCCGAGAACGTCCAGCCAGAAGCTTGTTGTCTCATCTTGAAGGTCCCCTTGTTGTCGGACTGCGAATGCTGGGCAAGGCGATCCCAACTCTGCAGCAATTCGGCATCTGTTGCAAGCTCGCAAGATGCCATGGTGAGATGCCTGGCAGAAATTGTCAGATCCTCATCCAAGGTCTCCTCAGTGCCGATCGCGAAAATGTTTTGGCACAGCATGCAGACTCGGCTGCCACTGTCTTGGCGATTGCTGAAAGTTTGCTTCTGCGCACTTCCATCTTGCAAGAAAACGTCAAGTGTCCAATGAAGCCTCAAGGACTGCTCTTTGCCACAGAGGGTGATCCCATGCTGTGGATTTCCGTGCTCATTCGCAAACATGAATTCCAGGAGGAGTCGCACACATTGGCCTATACCAGCATGGAAAGTCTGCACCTGGTCGGTTCTCAAGACCATGAGTGTGAACCAGTGACTCTCGTTTGTCAGCAACTTTTGGCCCAGCTGCAACCAAGAGATATATACTGCCCAGATCTTGCGGCTGCTGCCCGACAACTGGTTGCCGGGATGGACTTCGTCACAGTAGAGTATACCCTGCCATGGGGCATCAAGAGATGAAGGTCTGCTGCGATGCAGAGTGGTCAAAAGATTCTCCCAATACCCACCTTGGGCGAAGGAGCCCTGCAGCATGCTTGCAAGATTGAGGACAGGGAAGGGTTCGGTGCCTCCATCAATTCGGGATGATTGCAGTGTCTGTATCAATGGACCATATCTGTTGAAACCGTCTGTCATCTGAACCACTGCCTCCTTCATATGCTTTCGTCGGTGAAGTTCTGGAACCCCTTCTCGTTCCACAGCATCGAGGATGCTGCTCAAGGCAGAACAACTCACAAAAGGTAGCTGTCTCCGAAACCCCTCGAGTCGCTGGAGCTTCCCATGTCGGCTAGAACTGGCTTCGGCACTAGCTCCAGCAACATCTGCCTTTCCTTTTCTCTTCGACATGGCTTGGCCTGGAAACTCGGCACGAACCAGATGTCTGCAGAAACCAGCAGACGTGTCGGAAGACGTTCTTGGATACAGACATGTCGGAACACAGCCTTGGAAACAGACATGTCTGGACACAGGCTTGCAAACAAACATGTCGGAACACAGCCTTGGAAACAGACATGTAGGAACACAGCCTTGGAAACAGACATTTCGGAACAGGTTCTCGGAAACAAACATGTCGGAACACGTTCTTGGAAACAAACATGTCGGAACAGGTTCTTGGAAACAGACCTGGCCGAACACAACCTTGGAAACAAACATTTCCGAACATGCTTGAACATTCCCTGGCAAACCGATTCTTTTTCTCCCACATACTCGAACGAAGTTGAGCTCTAGTCCTGGATGGTATCTTGCATAAAGCCATTCCCCTGGCCAGCAATCACCCTGGAACATCTGCTCTCAAGACTACGAAAAAATGACGGCCATGCAGCTGCCTCAATTTAGGCGTTGCCTGGTTCGCATCATAAACTCCTTCCACGCGGATCTATTCGCAAATTTTTGCCCTGCGAAATTCGCAGCGAGACACGTGTCGCATCCGTGCTGCGATCCTCGGCACCTCAGGCAACCGCCTGTGATCTTCTTAGTCTTCTGCTCGGCCTTGTGAGGCTTCTTCGCAGGAGGCTGCTTGGCCTTCTTGGCTGTGGTTGCATGAAAGTTGCTGTCAGCCTGCTTGCCCCGCACTCGCTTGCCCACGATCTGCTGGCCCTCGGCTGCTTTCTCAACCTTTGCCTCGGTCCTTGGGCTTGCAGCAACAGCATTGCTTCTTTTTCAAAGTCTTCTAACGACTTGGGAGGCTTGGCAGACTCCTCGGGCTCTGGGGCCACACTTGCTGGCACATGCGCATGCGCGATCGCAATCTCGGCTGGGCTGGGCAATGCATGGCCAGGAGAGGGCTCGGCAGTTACAGTCGAAGGGCCAGGCGATGCCGACTCTGGCAATGCCGATGCCTTCATGGACGATACCGGAGTCGGAATCTTCTGCATCTCTTGCAAGGCTGGAAGCGACATGCTGCTGGAAGCAGTGTTCTGCAGCTCCTTGGCACGGTTGAAGAAAGTGATCTTGGGCTCATTCTGTGACTTGTCCACTGGAATTTGGCCAACACCAACGAGCTTGCCCAACACTGCAAACTGGGCTGAGTCTCTGTCATCCATCTGCACGTTCTTGGCCATGTTCCTGCTCAGCAACGAACTTGTAGATCTGACTGGGCATCCAACAGACAGCCCTCGCAAAGAAGTCAACACCTTCATGCTGGGCTTCTCCTGGCCATACACTTGGGCAATCCAATCGGCCCCCAGTTCGGTCGGCAAAGCCGGATACACCCTAATGGGTGCAACAGGCGACACGATGTCGCTATCGTGAAAGAGCTTGGAGAACGTCCCAGACATCTCGTAGACTTCGTCTGGCGTTGGCTTCGGAAATCCGTGCCAGAGAGCGACTTGGCTCAAGAAAGACACGACATGTTTTTTTCGTATCTTCTTTTAAGGAAGTAAGGCCCACCAGCCTCAAGCGTTTCACCATGACGGGGGGGGCCTGGTCGGGATCCCCCGTCATCAACTGGGCAAGTTCCGAGTCGGTCAGGTAAGCTGGCAGGCTCGTTAAGATTGGGGCATCGAGGCTACTTTGTGGCCTTGCTGGGCTTGGGTTGCCGAGCATGCCTTCATCATCAGGTTCTCGTTCAGAAACTGGCTCGACCTCTCGGGCAAAGCAGAGTCCTTGATGCCTTGAAGCATGGCCAGCAAGTCCGAAGGCAGCAACGTGTTGCATGCCTTGATCTTTTTCCACAAGGCCTGGATCATGCCATCCTGCACAGCAACTGGTGCTCCGAAGGCCAGCAGCTTCTGCACGTCGTCGAGCTCTTTGAGAAACTCTTTGGCACCCCACGACATAGCAGGCTCGCTACAGGCAACCAAAAGCCAGAGGCTATCGCTGCAGCCAAACACTGGTCTGGTGCATCAAAACGAATGCTGGGTTGGGGGAGGAGGGGTGGGCAGGAGCGATAAGTGTGTCGGAGCCTTCGGGCTGCATGTGTGTCCCAGCTCATGTTCTTGGGTATGCATTGTGGGAGGAGCCTTCGGGCTGCATTGTAATTGGATCATCTGGCTGCATGGTTGTTCGAGCCTTCGGGGTGTATGTTGTTTAATTCGAGAACCATATGTGTGTCGACGCCTTCGGGCTCCATGTGTGTGCCAGCCTCTATAGCCTTCCTTGCCTGCAGGTGTTCAACATGTAGCCGGAAGGCTCGAGCAACTATGCAGCCTGATGCTCCATGCAAGGACAACGCAGCCCGGAGGCTGCGTGCGCAATGCGCACCCAAGAACAAGCAGCCCCCTGGTCTCCAGCAGCAGCACATGCAACACTGGCAAGATCTCCCAGAAGTATGCAGCCCGAAGGCTCCAAGCACAACAGCACACCCACAGGAAAAAAAGAAACAATAACTGAACTGCCCAGTGTCGGGTCGTCTGACTCGGCGGTCGCTGCCAAGGCACACAGGTCGCCCCCGGGATTGGCCAGATGTCCTGCAGGAAGTTCAGCCTCTGCTTCTGCACCCACTGGTCATCCATGGTTCCGATGGATGGATTCCTAGGACCTGCTAGTCTAGGTCATGGTGCATTGTGGTGGCTGTCTGCCTCGGTTGTGGTGGTGTTGTTGGCAGTGGTGGTGGTGGTGCTGCTGGTGCTGGTGCTGGTGCTGCATGGTGGTGCTGGGCACCTGCACTCTACACTCCCCACTGACTTGGGACATCGTGCTGCAGATGCAAAGCAACCGTTCATTGCTCCACTGAGATTAATGTAGGTAAACATTAGAAAATCAGAACCATTAAAACCATCACCAGCACCTCCAGCACCACCACCAACAGCACCACCACCACTACCACCACCACCACCACCACTACCACCACCACCACCACCACAACCACCAACAACTTCCGCACCACCATTACCACCAGCATTAGCCACACCAGCCACGACTCATCACCGACATACCACCACCCACCACCCCAACAATAACCTCCCACCACCACCACAACCACCAACACCAAGGCTAAAACAAACTACACCTAGACAACACAACCCAACACTAGCAACAGGAAAGGGTCTGAATTTGTGGGTGGGTGTGGGTCGTGGTGCTGGATTGGACAGGCGAGGAGTCGGACTGATGTGGCTGCACAGGCTTGTGTTGGCATGAATCAGTGGGTTTCAAACTATTATGTGGTCATGGTCACCATCTGCCACAGAAGTTTGTGACCCGAAATCACGAGCTTCCCACCGAGAACACAGAACTTAATGGACTGAATTTGTGATCCTACCATCTGACCCCGAATTTAGTGGACTTAATTCTGGACCCCACCCCCCCACCCGACCCCGGATTTAGTGGACTGAATTCTGGACCCCCCCCCACCCGACCCCGAATTTAGTGGACTGAATTCTGGACCCCCCCACCCGACCCCGAATTTAGTGGACTGAATTCTGGACCCCCCCCACCCGACCCCGAATTTTGTGGGCTGAATTCTGGACCCTCCCCCACACACCCGGATTTTAATCGACTGACTTCGCGACCCTCCCCCCACACCCCTGATTCAGTGTAATGAATTCACTGCTCGCCTGTGTCACAAGGACCAATCAGTGCATGATTCAAACCAACAACGCCTCCAACACTGCAACCAGACCACAATGCAACAAATACAGACATAAAACTCGCCCAAGCTTCCACACACTCAACAAATCACTCGGCTACATTCTGTTTTGCGTCTCGGACTGCAGCTGTAGCAACCATCCGACCAGCAGTGCACTTTACGTGTGCTCGTGCTTCTCATGAAGTAGTTGTTATTGAATAAGCTGGGTGTGTGTTGTGAGGCTAAGCTTTGCATGGTGTGGGTGTCGCTAGTGAACTATACTAAATTCGAGATGCAGAATGTAGAGGCTAGGTGCTCGAGACACGTAAAGTCTGGTGGTAAAAAGGGTCGCTTAGATACTGTTTGGTATAACATCAACCTAGGGCGGTTGGGGTTCTCAGATCTGGACTGGTGTTGCTGGGGTCTACACAGTGGCTGCCTTGCTCCAGCCAGTCTTTCCAAGACCTAGTATTGCAGGCCTAGACTTTTCGTCCTCTTTGCCTAGCTGTTTCCTAGAGCTGTGGCTCGGGGCAAGGCCTAGTGGTCGTAGGCAGGGTCCACCCCATCTTTGGCCAGCACCTCCAAGTGAGTGGCCAGGCAGGTCTTGAAGGTGTAATCTTTGGCAGAGAACCTTCAGGGATCAGAACAAGCATCCATGCAGCCCGAAGGCTCGACACATGAAGCCCGAGGGCTCGAAACACACAACACCAGGAGAACATGCAGCCCGAAGGCTCGGTCATCCCTCCTAGCCTCTCGATCATCTCGAAGCACTTGTCTGCGTCCTGGAACTTCACCGCCCCAGCCAAAGCCACTGTCTTGTTCAACCACCATTGCGAAGGACGTTGGGCCTGGCAGGCTGCGACGATCCATCTGCTTGTCCACCTGCTGAGAGAGGTGCTCCTGCTGGCACATGTGATACTGGAGGTGGAGGTGGAGGTTTGGCTGCAGCTTGGAAGTCGAAGCCTGAGTCGCCACGGCAAGCTCCTTCAGGGGTTGGACATGTCACACAGAACATGCAGCCGGAAGGCTCTATATGTCATGGAGAGCAACATTCAGGGGGTTCGACATGGGACATACAACATGCAGCCCGAAGGCTCCCATGTCAAGCAGCCAAGCAGCCCAGAATGTTCAAGTACCCCCAGTCCTCCAGCCGACGTCTCTTGGTCTTCCATTATACTTCAATATACAGAAACACACCCTTCACATCCAGACTGCCTGGATCTGCTGAAGCTGCTCATGCTGCAGATCCACAGTGGCCCTCGATGACTGCAGCTCTTCTGGTTGTTGAGGAAGCCCACCGTCTTCTCCAGTGTAGTGCAGAGCTTCTCGATGTGCGCACGAGCCACGTCTGAAAAGTAGACCCATCAAGGTCTGCACGTGCTAATACGGTGGCAGACTCCCACCCACTCCCATCGGCAGCTTCGGAGACCAGATCGGTCGTGTATGCATCTCCCCTGGTTGAATATACCAGGTAGAGCACAGCGGGGCCGGTGAGATGCCTGTAGGCCACACGGCTCTTCGCCTCGTTCTCGTTCTTGACGTAGACCCCTCTCAGTGCACCTCCGATCCTCAGCTGCAGACAGGCCCGATGGCTTCAACAGAGAAAAGAAAAGCCCGAGGGCTCGGACATTAGAAAAGACATGCAGCCCGAGGGCTCAAACATAGGGGAGAGCGACAAAACAAGACAGCACACCTGCACAACTACCAGCACCACACAATGATTTCCCCGATCATGCTTTGTGTGATTGTCTCCTGGCAAGCCTACTTTCTGGCTTTCTTGCCAATAAATTTTCCACTGGGCACATAGCCTCGCCTGTCGGCATTCAAAACATTCCTCACAATCTGGGGCCAGGTACTTGAAGAGCCTCTGCAAATCCAGCTCTGTGACCCTGACAGCAGGCAAACACTTCAAGGAAACCATGTGAAACCAGGCTGGCCCTACGTTCGGCAGGGTTACCAGCTTGCAGGTAGGGACGAAGGCCTCGCTGGCCATCTTTCGTTTCTTCTTGTTCCCAGGGTTCTTCCCTTCCTGCTCGCCAGCGAAGATATCTTCCGCTGGATCCTCGGGTTTCGGCAGCATGGCTTCCAGGACCAAGGTTCGCAACTCTGTCATTTTGGCTGTCGTCGCCAGAGAAAGGTTCTTGGCTTTGGAACCCTGGCACACCATTCGGCAAATGGCGAAATTGCTGCCCACCAGTCTCAAGTACTGATGGCCATCTTCCTCGTAGGTCAAATCAGAAGGGATCGAGATCTTCTGCCCCTCATGGACAATGATGAGAGCTTTCTGGACTTGGACTTCAGGCAGCTCGGCCATGGCACAAAAGGACAAACAGGGCGAGACAGGGGCGACGAAATCGTTCGGGCCGACAGCTACGTGCGAAACAATGGTTTGTGACAGTCAGTGACATGTCATAAACATTTTTTTAATGCCATGCTGCGCGCTGCGACTCATGTCTGTCGAGAAAAGACGTGCAGGGTTTTTGTCGCCACAGGTACAATGACATTCGCTAGTGCACACCTCTCGACATTTCGATCTCTGAAAAGGGAGGAAGAAAATTCCCGAGAACGAACAAGTTCTGCATGGATTGCATCCAAGACCATTCACCAACACTGTGCCTAGCAGGACAACATATTCTGCACTGTGCTTGCTTGAAGCTTCGGAGGCTGCTCACGATGCAGTGCCCTTGGCCTTAATCCTCTTCGCGGGCCGAAGCGAAGGGGCCGACGAGGCCTGAGCTTGCTTGAGGACCAAGTTCTCCGATGCATAGCAGAGGGTGTCTCCTGGAGACAAGTCCTTCATCGACCTGAAGCTCGGCACCGACATTCCATCCAGCACCTGGTGCACGAGCTGCATGTTGACTTCCGAAAATTCATTGGTGCACCGCGCATACCAAAACGGCACCAGGACCGTCTTGCCATCGATCTTGTCGAAATCAACGACAGCCTTGGGAGTGGAGCAAGTACTGGTCCACGTAGTAGGATCCCTTTCCCTTGGGTGCATTCTCCTTCACAGGCACCAACTGGCCATAGGCAGTCAAGATCAGCTGTCGGGCAGGGACTGACACCGAAGCCACCACCACTGCTGGAGGAGCGAACACCTGGATCTTCGACCAAACGTCGTCATGGTCGCTCACGAAGGCATTGTAGAGCTTCACCCCTCTGCAAGGGCGATGGAGGCCTTCACGAAGCTGCTGTTGCTGACAGACACAGCTCGAGCTTCTGCCTCTGATAAGCCAGCAGGCACATCCCTCTTGCTTTTCTTCCAGCACTGCA